ATAATGAATGCATAACTGCCGTGAAGCGATTATAAGCACTGAATTACGCACGAAAAAATGTGACAAGACGTAATCGTGCCTGTGTCAATGTGATACATGAGTGATCCTTTTTATTACAAATATTTCCTCTCCCTTGTATTATATGTTCAGTTATTAAGAATAATAAATATATATTTTATGTCAAAGAAATAAAAATCACAGAACCTGAGGTTAATCTGTTGATAAATGACTTAATAACATCATTTTTTACCGCAGAAATATGTCAAAGTGATACAAGGGACAGATGAGGGTTAAAGAAGCGTAATGTGGTGGAAAGTGTGGAAAAATATTGGTGCTGTCAGGATAAATAATTTTTGGCACTTGAACAGAAAAAATAAAGGTTGAATGAAATGATCTGTAACAATTTTACTTTAATGTTTCTTACGCATTTATAATTATTGTAAGTATATAAAATCCTTACTTTACGTATATAGTTGTGACATTATATACAAAATTCATAATCTTTGATTATACTAACTTCGGTTATTAGAGACTTAATTATTAATTCTAATAAGTGAATAGTATTATTTTGAATTTATGAAATAATTTATTTAGTATGCAAATCTCCATTTCCATTAATGTACATGGTAAGGTCAACCTTTTGCCTGGTGGGTTACGTAATATATGCGAAGCATTCAAATTTTCTTCAAATATTTTATTATATTCATTTTATATTATCATTTTTAAAATACGAATGTAAGAAAATGAACTAAATTTTCAGAAATGATTGAATTCAAATGAAATTAAGAAAATCAATGAAGCTAAGTATCATTAATAACATAACTATTTGCCTAAAAATCGATTGCAAACTGTAAACACATTTTTCTCACAACTTATTTCAAACACAATTGTTCAATATAAAATGTTTTAGTTCAAGGATCTGAATATTTGTTTTATTCGTTATTGTATAAAGAATTACGTAATAATCTAAATATTTGTTGAGTCAAGTTTTTGTGACACACCTTTTGCGACAGAAGTATCTAAAACTGCCAATATATAATAACTGTCAGATATATAGTATTGAATAATATACGCCATTATAAAGAAATATTTTTGCAACAATGCATGTACACAAAAACATAAAGAAAGCTAAAACGTATACATTCAATCGATTTATTTCGAAGAACTTTACTTTAAAAAAGTGCTCTTTAATTAGAAGTTATTTATAAGCAATATTTTTAATACTGCCAGTTTTATAAGAATTAATAAATTCGAAGAGTTATTGCGTACTAAAGCAGATGTACGATTATTTAACTATTAGGTAATTGACAACAATACTTAAATGCTTCTCATATCGCAGCATTGCTTAATTGATAGCTTTTGACAGAGTACATCAAGCAACTCATAAGAGCACGTTTTAATAACACTCGGTATCTACGTACGTAAATGGATCATTAAAAAATATTCTGCATATATCATTTTATATTTGTTCATATTAAAGTTTGCGAGTTTCAAATAACGTTTAAAATTGAAAATGAAATCGTATTTTATGAAATATTTTTATAATTATAACGAACAAGAAATGAATATTAAATACGACAGTTATTTCTTTCTTGCTACAAGGAATGCAGTACTCTGAACGAATTTTTAAAATTCCTAGATGTCACTGACATAGGATAAATTTATCATGAAAAGAAATGTTATTCTTATCGATTATAAATAAAAACTTCACCTTCCTGTCGTTAGTAATTTATAGAAGATATTTGTACATGCTTCGAAAATATTAAAAATCGAACTTTTATTTGTTCTTACTTAAAAACTCATTTTTAATCATTCATTACAATTGTTTAGCATAAAGCTGAATGAGTATGTAGCATATAGTAACTTACTGTAATGGCATGTCTTTCCCTGTTTCTTTACTTCCGATTGCAAATAATTTGCCAAAATTAGAAAAATATGTTTATACCACTAATATGTAACTCATGTGAATCAATTCTTCCGAAAAATTTTTAAATATTTTTTGGAAAATTAATAGGAAGGTGATCATTCTTTAAAATCATTGTTTATATCGTTGTTTCTTACAAAAGGAAGAGCAATATTCGCGTTTAACATTTTTTCCTATCTCCGGTAGTTTTCAAGATATTAAATAAAGTATGTTTTCATCTTTAATTTTAGAGGCTATTTTGAACTCGTAAACATGAATATGAGCAGCTATAAAATAGCTAACGTACTAACGTGCCGAACATATTTCGCGGTTTAACATGTGCGCCGAGTTTCATTAAAATCTGCGCATACGAACCGATTAATATCCTTTATGAGTATAATTTTGTATAATGTGCTAGAACCTTCTTGTTTGTTACGTATTAATCATTACGAAAAATTCTAATTTTCAAATAAATTACAAAAATTAATCAAATAAGTTAAATAAGATTTTTAGGTAGTTACGACGATTGCTTGGTAGTATTTGTGGACAACTTCTAATTTTTTCATCTTAGAATGTGTCTGAACACACGTAATCATAAATGAAACACAATAAAAATTTCTATACATTTTAATATATATTTTAGCTATCATAACAAGAAAACAGTATTAAGAAGAACAACTGTACAAATTTATGGGAAAAACACCTACAATATTTTAATAGGACCTCATATAACTATACTGAGTAAACGGTAAGATCTAGATAACAATTTTTAATTTAATGAAGATGATATCGTAGTTAATATGGTTTCATCAGTTGTTAATAACAATACTGAAATGTTTAATAAATACTTACGTTGTTTGCAATTTGATGACACACACAGTTGAAAATACAAACTTTTATTTTTCAAATAGTTTTATAGATCTCAAAGAATTCAAAAGAACGTACAGCTGAATCGTGCGATTTCTTAAATAATATGTTTGCGCTTGTAATAATATCAATATTTTACAGTTTTCGATATTAATGGAAGATGAATTACATTGATTGGGGAGTAATTAATTACATTTAAAAATATTTAAACTGATAAACAGTACTTCTTCTTTTATTAGTAATAAGTATTGAAATCTGGTATATTGTTAATTTCAATGCTCAGAATTTCAATATATTTAGAGAAATAACATTCTCCCGAGAGTATAAAAACATACGACAGCAATCCATAAAACTAGAATTCATAATGTATGACAATGGATTGATTGTAATACGTAAAATACTTCACTAAAAATACTTCCGTCTGGGAGTACACTCATATCATACTTAACTAAAATAACTGAAAACTAATAGTACATAAAACACATACAGCTCCTACTTCTTCAATTCGATAAGAAAAATTAACTTTTCTTTTTTTTTATCAATGATATATTACTAAAATCTGTTACTTTCTGTAGTGGTATAATTATTCTACTTAACTAAATTGTATCAGAGTTTTTCTATGAGCATAAATATGTCATACTTACAGTTAATATAAATTCTTTAAAATAAATCGGGACAAAATCAAATGTGTTTAAATAATTTCAAATTATATGAAAATAAATATCAAAAGTAATTAAACCTTTCAATATGAACCATATTTTTTTAGATTCAAAACTTTTTGGACGTTCTTGTGTTGCCAAGCCCGTAGATTAGATGTATTAGCATATAAACTGTCTAAATTTCAATATAATAAAAAGTTTAATAAAGTGTAATGAAAATTTCACTTCATATAGTGCCTCATTGAATTTCAAAATGCGTGAAAAACTTCTTTTTTTCATCTCGTATTGTGTGCATATATTCATAAAATCTGTATTTACATAAACATTCGACCGCGTATTTGTTACTGAATAAATGAGTCTTAAACGACTGTAAATGTTTCAATATTGATAGCATTTATTTCGTTTTCATTTATTTAAAAATTGATATATACGAATACGTAATTATAAACTAACAACAATAAGGTGAAGAGAAATTATTGGTACGTTATTCACAATATTTGCAACAAGTAGAAACATTCAGCAACGGCGCGACAAGTAAACTCGTTATTTAACTGTTCTTGTCCGTCAAGCAAATACGTAAATCCGAGTTCTCCACGAATAAAACCGATTTAAAACAAATATTTTATCCGATACAATCGGTACAATTTTGCAAAATAAATTTGGCAAAATTTTTTAATTTGCTTACTTGAAACCTACTTAATATTCAATTTTGTCACATTAAAGCTGAAGAATATTATAGTTTTTAATATTATGTAATGTTTATAAAAATTGTAACAACAGATATTTGTTAATTCCTACTGATATTCATTGCAGTATGCAAGTGAAACTATTGATTTTTAAAATAATTTCGAATACTTAATTCTTTTATGATTTTAATAATTGCGAAATAATAAAACTGAAATTAATCATGTTGATTGGTACGGTAGTTGCTTCATTGACGCACTAGATGTATATCTGAATATAACATTAATACTCAGATGTAACTTCGAAAAATATCAACTACTTTTAAATTGAAGATAGTTTGTCGAAACTGTCACTTCATGGCTTGTGAAAACGTACTTAATAATTATACGTGAAAATATACGTGCTTAATGAATTATCACCTATAATTTTATTAAGAATTAAACTACCGAACAAATTTTAGCTTCATTGTACACGAAAACTATATTGTCTTCTAATTGTATTACAATTTAATAATTATTCCCCATAATACTCAATATACAATAAATTAACAATACCGTTCAAAATATTTAATTACTCCAATTACAGAAATCATTACTGAAATATCTCATACTTCCTCCCCACGTACTCCAACGAAAAGCAATCAAACGCATTTCATATTACAATTTCTATCACAAAACCTCATCGCCCCGAGAAAGACAGTTTTTATCGTTTCGCGCTTCTAAATTGATTATGTACAGAGTTAATTGATTGCGAAGTGGGGCTCGACGAGAAGGGGTTGGTTACGGGATCAAGAACAGAAGGGGTAGGAAGTGCACGGATATCGGCAGGGATAAGGCTGCGTGGTGAGAGCCATAATAATCCCGTTCCCAGTTCCGTTTTGGCGGACGGGTCCATAAGAGGAGCCAGGAGAAGAGAAAAGTCCGTAGGCTGGTCGCTCGCGCTCGTAGCGTGTAGCCGCGGTACGCGCCGCGCAGCCTGTGTGTCCATGGTGGATTTCCTCGAGTGGAGGCAAAGTTTGATTTTGTGGAGGGCGCACGCCCCGCTCCCAGCTGCATAACCGACTGGCCTTTAAGCAGTCACGAACGAGCCTTCGCTCGTCGCAGCCGCAGGGAGGTACGATTTTTCCTCGCGGCCGCTCTCTTCCCCTTTCCCTCGGTTTCTCCGTCGCAATAGCCGCCACGGACTCGTCCCTGTACACGAAATCGCGCGTGCAGTTTCATTCACCGATCAGTGCCAGTGACTACGTTCGTCGTGTTCGACCATTTCACCCTGGACGAGGGATTTCTAGGAGTGGAGGGCCAGGACCCAGGGCTGTCGCAAGTAAGTACACTCGCGAGTATACCCTGTCCCCTTCGAGTCCGTTTAGTCGTGAAATTACTGGTTAACCTTACATCGTTCAGCCACACGAACGGTCGTTTGCCAAGGATACGTCCAGCGTTCCAGGAATCTGGACTTGTCCCTCGAAAGTCTCGGGATTCGATAACTCTCGCCGCTGGCTTTGCGATGGACAGATGTAGGCGAGCTTATTGAATTCGCTTACAATTAGTAGAATTGAGATTGCGATACTCCCGACAGGCTCGTGAATTAGGGTGCAGCGTGCATGGGGCACTTTGATGAATATGCAAATTGCTGTTCAGAGATTTGCTGGTGAATCGATAGAGCCGAGCGTGGATGATGCTTCGAATATTTGAAATCGAAGTCGATGGGAGATAGGTATTTGCTGCTGTTCACGGGGATGCATTCTTTTTGTATGTGAATCGGTGTTTATGGACGGGTGATTGTAAACATTCGATCCTGTCCGATGTTAATCGTGTTGCTAGGCGCGCGTTTTAGTCCTTCGTGCAACATGTTCTCCGCTTTAAGGTATATGTTGGTCATTAGAAAATATCCGCGTATATACGCGCGTCCCACGAGATCATTATTTTCTGATTCTGCGTAATATATCTCAAATAACATCAGCCCTTACGCTGGAAATGTACACCTGATGCATCCCGTGTTTGAGGAGAGCCTTGATGCGATTATATCGATGATTGGAATGCTCGCCTTGAATGTTAACTGTATTGTTTAATAGTGGTCCATTCGACGAATAAGGGAAACAATGTTTTGACTGACACGAATCTGGGTAATTTAAGTGTTAACGAATAACACACGATGTTTCTGGAGAAATTTCGTATTTATTTCTGGGAATATCGAAAATCTATAGTATTCTAATACTATTGCTTACTTATTGTTATTTTAGTAACGTGTGAAGACAAGAGAATAAATATTACATCGAACAGTTGTTTCTTTACGAAAAAAAATAATACACTTATATTTATAAAGTGAATACAAGGAAATTAAATCAGGTAATAACGCAATTTTCATTCTCTGCAATTATAATTACTTTTAGAATACATATCTGTGGGGAATTTTGAAATTCGAATGTAAAAAAATTCTGTAAAATGTCGAAGTGGTGTTAATGTTATAAAGGTTATTGAAGTGAGGGAAGATTTAAAGAAAGTTCTTACTTCGAAATACTTGTGTGTAATTTGAAAATTACGTTACATTGATGACAATAAGCGAGAAAGAATACACGATAAATATTGAAAACAATCAATTATCAATATCCATTTAAATAATGATATAATTGTAAACTGATTTTGCGATATTATGAACTACCGAGATCACAGTAATTGTTATAAAAGCCCATTAAGAAAACAATAACTGCTTTGATGTTTCAGCGTTTAAATCGAAAATATTGATAGCATACAATATCTTCATAGTACTCAATCAATGATTAGGCTCCTTATCAGTTTTCGAAATTGGCGTCAATTTCTTCCCGAATTGCCTCTATTATTGGGATTAGAGTTCTTTTTGGTAGATGAAGTTATTTCCCCGCCCACGACAATAATGCGAAGGCACGTTGTAACCTTAACGAAGCGATATCCGGATAATAGGGGTGAAACAACAATACGATCGATATCGTTTAATTGCATCGGCGTAATATTAATTTTTTCAACTTAAATAGAAACAAGTATCGTAATTTGCTTTTTCCAATATGCTTCAAATTTTTCCTTCGTTATCACTTTTTATTATTCGAGAATTCGCGTATAACAAATTACCTTACTTCTGAACTTGATCTCATTTAAACATTCATTAAGTATATGCATTGTCATGACAATCACTTGTGTTTTTTTCTGAATTTTATGTCCAATATTCTTTTCCATTCAAAACTATTCTTCAAGTACAGAGTATCTATGTATGCATTAAATATTTTGTTAATAAATAATTGGAACAAAATGTAATTATTTTTAGTATACTTTTGTTTGAAATATTGTTAATTTTAGTGATCTTGTCAAAGAATACAAAATTTTGATAATTTTAGATGCTTGTTATTACACTTCGAAGATGTTATCAATAATTATGTATTGAATTTGCAGTGGCAGATAGTGTTACAGATAATTTCATAACTAGTAATTAAAGAATTAACAAAATGTAATTCGAAAATAACATTTATTAGAAATGTAGTATTTAGTATAAATGAAATAACGAATGCTTCTTCTACTTGAATACTAGATTTAGATAGTACATGAGAATTAATCAAATTTTATATTAGTAGTTTTCCAAAATCCACTCCAGTTGCAAAATTTATAAATGAATGGAAAATCATAACGAAAATAATCTATAAATCAAAATATGTTTATAAGGGTATTTCTGTCACGGAAAGCTAAAAATTATGTTTTTATAATGTTTCCATAAATTTCCAATATTTTATTAAATTTAAATGTTTGAATTATCGAAGTACACGTCGATTATAAGTAAATAAATCTACAGATCAAGCAACATGGACTATATAATATTCGAATCCAACTGGTTGCGTATTTTTATCTTACAACATCCGGGACATTCTTAATTGGTGAGACTCAATCAGAGAAATTGGTTCCTGAAAGCGGGACGCTCAAACAGCTCTAATTAGAATTTTACTGCTTCGCTGATAGCTGAGACTGTTATCACAGCTCAGGAAATCATTAAGTCCTTTGTCTTCGTATTTACTATATTTTCGTATTTTAATTGAAGTTGGGACTAAACATATTTATTTTATATTGTAGAAAAAAATAGAACTTTATTTTTCATAAAGGGTGTGACGGCTTTTTAGATTATGTGAATTTGTTTCTTTAATTGTTCCGCATAGAAACAATAAACGTGCAATGTAACGGAAAGCTTTATTTTATTTCATTTTTTTGTTATATTCTTTGAACATTATTTTCCGATAGTAGTGATAAATTCATTGTATTTGTGTTACAATTTAGGAAACAATAAAACAACGATTAATAAAGCATTTTATGTCTAATAATATTACGAATTTAAAGGAATGACGCAATCAGGTATGTAATGAAAGGAATGCTGATTTCATAATTAATATACCTCAGTGATTTATCTAAAAATGTTAAATAAACAATTTGTACGTGCGGTTACTGCGAGGTAACATTATCAGCACCAGGTAAAACTGTTTCTTACTCATTTATCATTTACTATTTTATAAAGTATACTAATACAAGTCTTAAAATTAAGAATTAAACCTGATTAATTTGAGTATCAATTGAGTATCAAGAAAAAACAAATTTCTGATTAATTCTAGTTTCTTATTTCATAAAATAGTAAATACATAATCAATTAAACACTACTGAATACACCAAGCCTAAGTTTGTAAAACAATAGACTCAAATCCACATTAAGATATATATAAACACTTGTGACAGCGATAAATATTTATTTTCTATGGATTATGGAAAAAATGTTAACAAGATTTTATTAACAAAAAAATGCAAGATTATTACGCGAAGCAGGGGCCAATTGTGAGCAGTTTACAGACGTACACGTCCGTGTAATTGGACCCAATTCACGCGCGAGCTTAAGCCTAGCTTTAACGCGAGAGAGTGATTAATCCGTGTAATTTTGCTGCAGTTGGAAAAAGAAGTAAGTGAAATCCTCTTTACTAGTTGATTACTTTCAAATATTGCTCATTGTTTTCGTTGTCAATTCTCATCAAGTTTCAAAAGAAGTAACCGTACACCAATTCTGAGAGTAATCTTTTATGGTTATGAGATGGTGTTTAACTTTTATAAAAAAATGAATTAATAGGATTAATCTGAAGGTCTTAATATTGGAAAGTTTAACAAACGTTGTATTGACAATAATTGAATATCACACCTCGTTTATGCTTATTTCTATAACAACAGATACAAAGGAACAAAAGTTAAACCTTTCTTTCGCCATGGCGATCATAAAACACTTATTTGTAAGTGAGAATAATATTTAATTTGGTATAAAATATTTATTGAGATAATGAAGATAATACTGATAAATACCAAAATTTCTAAAATGTTTCCAATATAAAATCCCACGATTTTGAATGGTCTTTAGGAAATATTTATTTTTTTGCTTTTTTAAAGAAATTAACGTATATAAAATTAATATTGTGCATTGAATCCATTTTTCACGATTGTGATTATTGGCGTAAAAGTAGGAACGTTATTTTTGTAAGATAAAAGATAAGTACTTCATATTGGAAACAACATGGTGTCTTACTTTTTGAACATTTTAGGCCTAGATCTATCTAAGATTGGTTTATTAATACTAAAACTACGGTACCAGTCAAAATGACTGGTTTCGATTTCTTTCTTTTGCAATTATTAATATTTTAAAAGTATTGAATAGTTGGAGTTATTTTGAGAATAAATAGTTTCACTTAAATACTATAATGAATACTCGAAGAAACTGAAAACAATGTATTGTTACAATCTTTACAGGGATTATATATTAATCGTCTTCAATGCTGAGTAGTTATAGTGTTAATGCTTCAGGTGAACAATAAAAATATTAGTCGATAATACACAGAACACTACATTTACGGAACGAGTCAATTTGACTCATATTGAATTTGATAAACATTATTTGATTAATGTTTGGGTCAGTTTTGATTGTTGCAGTTACACAAATAGGTACCCCAATTGTCTACTTTTAAACCTCTAATTCCTAAAATCCAAATGAACGAATATCAATTTTTCTAACAACGATAGAACAAACTATATGGTAAATATCCATAAATCTAGTATTAAGATAACGATTTAAGAATCTAAAACGACAGTTCACTCACGTTCTAATATTTTGAAATTTCTAAAAGAAATAAAAATGGTACATTTAATTTAATTAGCCATCCACAACCAGGAATACACAATACAATCATATACATAAATAATCATCTACATAATTTAAAGTAGTAGTTAATGATCCAATGGAGTTGATGTGACTTAAAATATAGAATAAAAATAAAACTTTAC